CTCCTGTGTTCACACAGCATGTTCTCTCTGCCATATTTTGGGCCTTTTCTTGTCCTTCTTATAGTTTTCCAGCATACTATGATGACATTTTGTAAACATACAGAACATTTGATAGAGTACAATGAACATCTCTACTCCTTCCTAAAGACTTAGATTCCAGAGTTGTTAGCTCCCCTGTAGCTCTGACCTCTGGTGCTCACATCTGTCCTCACTCAGGTGGCACCTTCTCTTTCTGGCTGTGAAGTCTTGTTGTGCTATCTGTGTTCTGTCACAGTCAGGACCCTGCCACACATACCTTTCTTCCACATGCTCCCCTGTGAGTCTCAGCTCTGACAGGAGCTCCCGAGGCAACCACTGGTTTATAAAGTTTATGTCCCTACTTACATGCACATTGAAGTTTTAGTATTTTCTTTCTCATAATCATGCTGCAGGCCTGGTCTAATCTGGAGCTTTTCTGATTTTCCTTTTTATTTCTATGATTTGGGGGAGGATGTGTGGAGAGAGTCTAATTTAATGACTTTCATTATTCTAATTGCTTTCTCTTTTAGCAGCTTATTCGCATGCCTTATCTCTCTGACATTGGGGTGAGCAATAAATTTGATCTGTGCAACTCCAAAGAACCCAGCAGGACCCTCCGTGTGGAAATTAGAGAGAGAGATTCTGGCTGTGTACAATTTTCATTGTGAGAGCTGCCCGGAGATGCAAGGATGCACATTAGAAACTTATTGTATTTCCAAACTTGTGCTTTTTGTTGAAGAGCATCAGACTATTCTCCTGTGGTCAAGGGCCTCACAACTTAGGAAAGAGACAGATACACCAAGAAATAAACACAATCAAGGCTTATAGCCATTAGGACAGGTGGAGCCACAAAGGAGGGGACAGTCAAATTTACTAACAGGACACAAAAATCAGATAGGAACATTGTTTGAATGTCCCCAATATGACTTCTTCCTACCCAGTGAACTACCTTTTAGAACTAATTCCTGATGAAAATAATGCTTACACTTAAGACTCCTTCCCCAATGGGCCATTGTGTTCTGTTGGCTTAAAATTTTTCTCCAGACACAGCTAATTAATGCATGGGAGGAAGATGTGATATGAGTACATTTGAAGGCAGCCAGAGCACACTAGCTGCTTAAAAGAAGCAACTGACATTTCAAAAGCTAAAGGCAAGGCAAGAAATCCTTGTTTCAGGCTTTACCCTCACACACGTCCTTCCCTGGAGAGCATGGCAGGAGAAAGAGTCACTTCTACTAGGCATCCAGGAAGAAAGAGGGGACCAGTCACTCACCCACCAGATTTCTGGATTAGACAACAGAAACTCAGGTTGTAAACTAAGCAGTAGGGAACCCTTCTCCTGTCATGGAAATGTGAAGTCAAGGAGGAAGGTGACGAGATTCTTGGGACCCACATTCAAATAAAGTTCAAGTCATTGAGGGATATTGAAGTAAACTTTGTTTAAATGGTAAAATCATGACCCTCATGTAAATATGAACTTAACACGTATCAAAAAGGAATTAATTAACTCATTAATTAATGAGGGGAACAATAAAATATTACAACCAGTCAAAGGCAAATTCAAAGATAGATAGATAGATAGATATGACAATTTGATATATATATGACAGTTGTCCCCAAGGAGGTGCTGGTGGGATCAATTGTCCTCTCCATTGGACAAAATATGTTTGCATAAGTATGACCAAGAATCATTTGCATTGTTATCAGTTAGTTATGTACAATTTACTATTAGCTTAAAGACAAAGAAAGGCACAAAGATTTAATAAAATAAAATGAATCAGAAGGTGTGCTAGAAATTCCCTAGTTTTCCACTGAGTTCGCTCTGTAATCTTTTTGGTACATTCCAGAGTCTTTTACAGATCATCTGCTTCCCACCCTACCCCACCCCACCCCCAGGGATTCCTCCCAGGCTCCCTGAGCCAGCTGCAGGTTACTGTCCTAACGGATTGAGTAATCTCTGTCTCAGCACCAGAGTCAGAAACTCAGCAATGTTACTTTTGCTCTTCTTGTTGCCTCGCTGTCAAACAGAAGCTCTTCTCTCAATCTGACCTCAGAAGTAAATCATTTGTATCTGGATCCCCTCTCCCCACACCTGCTCTTCAGCAGACTCTCATCTCCAATTTATGCTGTTAACTACATACCAGTTCCAGCTAACTACAAGCATAGGTGGAAGCAGACAGAAGTACATGTAGAGATTAACATGACCATCATGTCTGGCCTATGAAACTATTGCCTCTTGTATGTGTGGTTATCCTTTGTGTGTCAGTCCTCTTCAGCTGGAAACCTCATGGAGAGTTTTTAGTGTTTCCTTCTCTGTTCTCTCAGAGCACTTAACTTTCCCTTTTTAGAGCTCCAGCTCAGATTTATTCTAAATTAACTTTGTAGACACACGTCTTCCTTAACTGTAAAATAAGGGTCATGTTTTTATCATCTTCATGTCTCTCCCTTCTCACTCAACCATTAGCGAAAGGTTAGATCATTCAATTGAATTATCAAAGAATTTATTGTGTACCATCAAACAAGGCCTGCAGAGTTCAGCTGAAATGTACTGTTTTACAGTGATAGGCAGAGCAGAAGCAGAGCTGTGCTCACGACGGGAACCAAAAAAACCAGGGTTTGCAGATCAATGAGACAGCAGAGAACCTCAGGGAGCAAATAATTTTTAAACCCCTTCAGTGAGTCCCCCATTTCTAACAGAACAAGACCGTCTCATGGAAACAAGGCCTCCCATGACGAGACCCACCTGTGTACTTGTATGATTTCAGGTTTTTTTCACTCACTACCCAGATTTCCCCATCTCCCTACCTACAAATCAAATTCAGTGAGATCCATAGAGGCTCTGGATTTACTCTTCCAGATATTAAAATGGCTTCCTCCAGCCACACAGAGAACACGGAAGTTTCAGAAATTTGCTACGTGGGCTCACACCTTTCCAGCCTTACTTTCTTCCCTTTGGTGGGAGCGCCACTGGTCTGACTCGTCCAGTCTCTCTACTTTCCTTTCATTGCTCATCCCTCAGGGAAGAGGAATGCCTTTACTCAACTATCAATTTGTAAAGAGAAACTGGGAATGAGAAGTTAAGTCCCTTCTCTTTCCTTTTCTCCTTGAAAACTCTCTACCCTCAGTAAGTATGCATTCACTCTTCTCCGCGCTATAAATTTTGCAGGACAGAACCCAGTGTGAGGAGTTCTAGAGTTTTCCTTCGGTGTTGGATAGTTCGTTATTACAGTATGCCTATGCCATGTAATTCAGCGTCGGCTTAATTTCAGTTGTGAAAATAATATCTTGATCTCTGCCTTGCAGGGAGAGAAGTGTGCTATTTCTAGAGATCCCCCACGCCCTCCACAGCCTGGGTCTCCGTTGCAGAAACCCATACCCTCAGCTCCCAAATAATTCTTTGACTTGGTTTTGCACCGAACTCCCTGATGCAGGAGCAGCAACTGTGAGAGGTGAGGGCAGAGAGGACCTGGGAGGGTAGAGGTGTGGGCAGAGGCAGGTCATTCTCTCCCCTTGGTTCCAGGAAGGTTTCCCTTCCTCAGAACATTCCTTCCTCTGCGGAAGCTCACCTGGAGCACATAAATACCCTCTTCTACAGTCTATTTCTAACTGTTAAGTGGAGGAAAACGTTTTACTTTGCTGAGGTTTTTTTCTTACCTAGACCGTCCTCCATCACAGCTCTCCAAAGGCTGCCATACAGTTTTTCCAGTCTGACAGGCACTTCACAATTTCCCCGAGCACTTCAGCGGGCTTACTTCCTTTACCTCTTTCATTTTCGAAAGAGTAATTGGAATGAGTCAGGCTCTCCTGCTGCCTCCAATTTGCCAAGCATCCTCTTTGAGGAGGACTTAGACAGGTACTGTTTAGAACTTATTACATATTTGTAATCAGGGGCAGAAAGACAAGCTTAGATCTGACATTTCCAGTTTTAATTTTGAATCATTTTGCCTTGTTAACTCAGATTGAATTCAGAGTTTCATCAGAGCTAAGTCCTTCCGATTTCATGCGGGATTGATTCCCAACTATTGTCCTAATTGAGCCCAATTTTCTCTTACAGAGTTATCCCCCACAATCGTGTGCTTTCACTGTTGCTGAGATCACTCAAATTCTTCCCTCTATACTTTTCCTTATGTGCTTCCCCTTTGAGAATCTTATTGTCTTTTTTCTGCTGATCCACCCTCCAAAGGCCATTTCAACTCCTATTTCCTCCAACAGGATGTACATCTTGCCTGATAAACACCTATAATATTTAGATGAATCACTCATTTTTTGATCTGCAAATACTTCCTCATGGCTTATTTGGTTTTATTGGTTACTAGTATTAGCCCGTATATAAAACCTTGAGATTCCTGTTCTTCAGGGAGCTCACAGAATTATCAGGGAAATCGAAAAGCAACAGATAAATTACTTAACATTGTGGTAAATATGTGTTGATCATAGAGGTAAATGTAGGAGTCTTGGTGGGTACAGGTGAGAGGTATTTACCCCAGGTTAGGGGTAAGGAAGGGCTTCCTGCACTGAGTATCAAGAAGCTAGGTGCTGTTGACTAGGTAGCTCATAGTGCAGTCCATGCAGACAGAACAGCATGCGCAAAGACCTAGAAGGATGAGCACGTCTGCCACATTTGGAGATCTGCAAGCAGGAACAAATGGTCTGGGGCAGGCATTTGGCAGAGCTGGGGAGAGCAGTCTTGGTTACTTAGGAGCCAGAGTGTGAATGGCCTTGCAGGCTAAGGTGCAGAGCTCAGGGTGTGATGGAAGACTCTTAATTAGGTTACAGTTCTCATGATCAGAGACTCTAGAAAAAGCATTTTCAAAGCACTGTGTTTGATGACTCACAGGTAGACAGAACTGATTTTTCCTTACTAATCAGGGGATTGTAACAAGGACCCAGACGCACAACGAAGAAAGCACAGATTGCTTGAAGCCTTTGATTATTTCTTAACGTGAATATTCTCTCCCGAATGGCTTCACTAAGTTCCACAGGGCAAGAATCAGGCCTGACTTACTTCTGCTTCCTCTCGCTTGCTGGAATGTGCTCAGCAGAGCAGAGGCACATAGCAGGTACACAGTCAAGCACCCACCCTTTATCTTCTTCCCTCCTACTTTTCCATCAGAGGTGGGACCTACATGTCAGATCCACCATGAGTCCACTGGATGTTCCAGAGTGAATTTCCCTGTCTCATTGCCCCCTGCTCCCACCACACAGAAAACCATACCCCTAAATTCTGTGTTTCTCATTGTCCCGCTTTTCTTTATACTTTGTGCACATCAGGATGCATTCTTGAGCAATGTATTCTTGAATTCTGTGTGTTTCTGAACTTCATAAAAACCCGATTCATATCGTATGCATTCTTCTAAGACTGCTTTATTATTTTGTTTCTGAGATGCACCCATACTGATACACCCATTTTCACTATCCTATACCATTAATTGAGAATATCTCAGTGTGTTTATCCATTGCTCTAACGGTAGACAGCTGGGTTCTTTTTGTCCATTGCAATGTGGCTGTTATGAACTTTTTTTTTGTATATTTCCCAATGGATTTACTGCTAGTTGATTTTGTGACTGGAATAAAAAATTATAAACTTCCAACTTTGACTGATCTTAATATTGCAAACGAACGTAGCAATTGTAGAGATGAGAAGTTTTTTACATACGTGGAAAGTGGAAAGACAGTTGAGATTTCCCTTCTCCATAAAAAAAAAATAGGTAGAACGAATACAATGTTTGCATTTCTGTGATCAAAAAAATACAATAAACCAATACTACTGTTAGAAATTAGCCTGATGGAGCGAAGGTCTTTGAAGATTAAATATTGCCTCTGATTGATTTGCTTACATATCTTTATCTTGTATTTGTAGATAATTAACGAGAAGAAATAAGACCCTCAGAGAGTTATAGCTGCCTGACTATAAAGCTGTAAATGCAACTATTCTCTCAAAAGGTGAGAAACAATTATTCTAAGCAACTGAATTTTCTTACATAAGCTCTAATTCATCATCCTTGTGTTAACTGTAAATGCTGTTTTTTGTTACTCAAAGAGCTGGCTCTCATCTACAGCTGTGGTCATTAACGCTGACCCTGCTGGCTCTGATCCAAACAAGGTGAGGCTCTTGTCAAGTGATCTGGGGCGAGGTAATCCATCTGAGCCTCAGATTCCTTTCAACTGGGTATCATAACCTCAACAGTACATTTGTTAAATAACTAAGAGGTCAAGTGATGTCAAGCATGCGGAAGTGCTTTGTGATCAGTAAAATTCTGGACAAATGTAATGGATGATGAGGAGGAGGAGGACACGGAGGAGGAAGGGAGAACAAAGATTATGCCACTCCTGTGCCTACCTAGATAGACCGCTGAAAGACCTGAAGGTTCTCGTTGGGAATCAGGGTGAATATTAGGGTTCAGTCTGAGTCTTTGAATTTGATGCTCTGCTAGATGTGTCAGTCTGTGAGTCATACTGCTATGGATGGAATTGTGTCCCTCCAGAGTTCTTATATTGACATCCTAACCCTCAGTACCTCAGAATGTGACCTTATTTGGAAATAAGGTCATTGCAGATGTAATTAGTTAAGTTAAAATACGGTCATGCTGGAGTAGGGTGGACCCCTAATCTGATATGACAGGTGTCCTTATGAAAAGCAAAACTTTAGATGCACAGACAATACACATGCATACACACACACACACACACACACACACACACATACACAGTGGAGAGATCCCATGTGAAGGTGAAGTCACAGATTGAGGTGATGGCTCTATAAACCAAGGAATGTGAAAGATTGCCAGGAAACCGTCAGAAACTAGGAGAGAGGCAAGAATCAGTCTCCCTCACAGCCCTCAGATGAAAGCAAGCTGCCCAAACCCTGACTCCAGCCTTCTGTCCTCCAGAAGTGTGAGACAGCATGTTTCTGTAGTTGAAGCCACTCAGTTTGAGGACCTTTGTTGCAGCAGCCTTAGCAAACTGATAGGCACACGCCTCTGCTTACAGCATTTTATTATTAAGGAAAATTGTTGCAGTATTTGATCAGAGTTATAAACACCTTTCAAAGTGACAGAATTGATGAGCAGCACAAATATCAGGAAGCCCACTGTTACCATATTTACATGTAGAGAATATTCACTGGTGACTAATATGCATAAAAATTAGTTAACCTTATCAATGTGCAAATAATTTGAGGAGAAAATGTTTTCCAAGCAGCAAAGACTATTTGATACAATATACTCAGTGCTGCTGAGTACTCAACGAGATGTGTGCTTATATCCTATTTGATGAATAGAAGGTGGTAAGTTTTTTCTTGAAATCAAGTTGGTAAGACATATGAAGTACCATAAAATGCAATTTTCAGATTCTGGTAGTCTGCATTAAAAGAGTAGACTATGAAATTCAGATGTGGAATTCTGGATAAAGGATTTTTATTCCAGTGTTATTTCTGTCCATACAACACAGGATGAAAGTAATGGCCCAAATAACATGGCAGTGGTTAAACCAATTATAACAGAGTTTAATTTTAATTATTTTTAATAATACTTTAAAATATTCATTTGAGTGATAAATACAGAATGTGTATGTAGTGGGGATTCTCAAA